TGTTGAAGATGCTTTCTTTTTTCCATTGTATAATTTTAGCTTCTTTGTCAAAAATCAAGTGTTCATAGGTGTGTGGGTTAAAATTAGGGCTTTCAATTCAGTTCCATTGGTCTACCTGCCTATTTTTGTGCCAATACCAAGCTGTTTTCAGGACTACAGCGCTATAATAGAGCTTGAAGTCAAGGGATCCAATTAAAAGGTGGGGTACAGAACTAAATAGAGAATTCTCAAGAGAGGAGGCTAAAATGGCCAAGAGACACTTAAGAAAGTGCTCAATATCCTTAGCCTTCAGGGAAATGCAAATCAAAACAACTCTGAGATACCATCTTACTCCTGTCAGAATGGCTAAAATCACAAACACGGAAGACAATTTATGCTGGAGCAGATGTGGAGAGAGGGGAACACTCCTCCACTGCTGGTGGGAGTGCCGACTCATACAGCCTCTATGGAAATCAGTATGGAAATTCCTCAGGAAAATGGGAATTAATCTACCACTAGACCTAGCAATTCCACTCTTAGGCATATATCCAAATGAGGCAAATTCATACAACAAGGGCATCTGCTCCACTATGTTCATAGCAACATTTTTTGTAATAGCCAGAACCTGGAAGCAACCTAGATGCCCCTCAACTGAAGAGTAGATAGAGAAAATGTGGTACATTTTCACAATGGAGTATTACTCACCAGAAAAAACAATGGAATCTTGAAATTCGCAGGTAAATGGATAGCACTGGAAGAAATCATCGTGAGTGAGGTAACCCAGTCGCAAAAAGACAAACATGGTATGTACTCACTCATATACGGATTTTAGACATATATCAGGATAGTGCCAGTCTGTACTTCCACAGATAGAGAGTCTGGGAAACAGGAAAGAACCTAAAATATAGGCATATATGCATAGTACCCAAGAGAAGAAGATGGAGACAAGATCCTCTGAATGGATGGGGAACACGGCGAGGGGTGGGGGGGTGGGACCTGGGAAGAAGAGAGGGGGTGAAGAGGAAGGGAGTTGGTCATGGGGGAACAGGAAGTTGAGGGGGTGGGGGTAGAATAGGGGGAAGAGGGAATCATAGGTTCGAAGACAGATCAGGCACCAGAGTGACATCGAGTGATCTAAAGGGATGACACCAATTGGTAAGCTAAGTAATAGTGGAGAGACCACCTCGAATGCCCATTCCTGATAATGAACTTTATGTCTATTACCATCCGGGAGCCTTCATCCTGTGACTGATAGAAGCAGAGGCAAACACACAATTAATCACTGAACTGAGCCCAAGGAACCCAGTGACAGAGAGAGATAAGTGATGAGCAAATTGGCAAAGAATGGGCTGGCAAAACCAGCAGAGACAGCTGATCTGAACAGGGGAGAGCTCTTGGACCCCAGAACGACAGTGGGGAGGCCAGCATGGGACTGATCTGGACCCCCCCAAATGTGAGTGTCAGCAAGAAGGCCTGGGCAACCAATGGGGCCCTGAGCTGTGGATCAGTGTCTATCCCTGGAATACAAACAGTCATCGTGTGCCTATAGCACAAAGAGGGATGCTCTCTCAGCCTGAACTCTTAGGGGAGTGCCTGGACCCTACCCAGAGTGAAATGACAGACTCTAGATATCCCCTATGTGTAAGGATTTGGCAATAGTGTGGGAGGGTGGGGGGGGAATCTGGCTCTCAGATTGGCATAGTTACGAGTCAATCACTGTCCTCAGACACTTGTTTTCATCATTGATCCAGATAAGCCCTATTTTAACTCATGTGTGTTTCCAATGCAGTGGGAAAGCTAGAATAGCTAGTGGCTATGCCTTTGAAATGAATGGTCAGGACTGTGTTGCTGGCTTATTGATCAGGTTCTGAATAGAGTTACTGAACTCCATACTAAATTAACACACAGGCTTCATCAACTTATACAGACCAGCAGACAATATGTTTCATGTCTTATTTGCCAGCATTATTACTAAGAACCTGAATATTTGAATGCATTTTATGGGGATAAATGCCAAATATTGAAGTTGGTATTAACCCATAATTTATAAAATCTAAAAAAATTAAAAAACTTATCAATAATGGAACAAGACATCCTCTAGTGAGTGTTAAACAATGATTACCTCTCCAGCCTGAATGGTAAGAGTCCATTGCAATTCCATCCTGCAAAAAATTGAAATAAAAAATACATGTATTGGAATTTTCCCAGACTATATCGTGTAGCTTAATTGCATACAGCAAATGGTCCTCAAACACAGAGATTTAGTTCATTTATACAAAACATAGATTTGGTCTGACTTCCTCCATACCTTTGATAAGATGATAATGAGAATGCATTAGGAGAAAGGAGGCCAGAAGCTCTTTGTGATATTTCTGTCAATGTTATACTGCAAGTAACGCACTACATTCTTTGGTGTGTATCATCACTGGTTTAATTCATACGATGGTGCTTATGCCTTATACAGCAACTGGGTTCTAGATTCCATTCCTAATGCAGATATTTTAAAATACATTCTGTAATTTGACATGTAAATGATAAGGTAAGAATTTATTCTATGAAAGGAAGGCATTTCCTATAAGCACTTGAAAAATTCACTGCAACCTTGAATTCCCATGGTGGTTTCTATGTGAGAAATGTGTAAATTAGCAATAGACTATGGCAAAGTTCTCCATGCAGGTTCCATTTCTTTAAAATTGTTATGTGCACATATTCATTCCCCTTATGTCATTGCTCCTTTCATGGTGTCTAAGGAAAATATAAAAAATATTCTTTTTTAACTTTATTTTGATGAATATCAATGAAACTGAGTATAGGGTTAGTGTTTCATCAGTGTGACAACTGAGAAATGGAGTGTTTCTCCTTTCTTCTCTAAGGTTTGTGTGCAACTCCCCAGGTCTGTGTAATCATGGTAGTGTCTCGGATGCATGGATCTGAGTGAAGTCGCAAGTCGGATTGTATCCCTTTGAAATGGAAAAGGTGTGAGTATGTATTATGCTCTTCATTAAATTCACATATTATTAAAAAGTTGACGATCATCATCTCAACTTTTCTGACAAACACTACCCTTGTGATGTTCACATCATTTTCAAAAGATTAGAATATTTTCCATATGTTACCATGATAGTAAAATATTGGTGCCTATTCTATCACAAAGGGAAATTGGATTGCCATGGTGCCTGGATGTTGAGATGCCCGCTGCCATCAAATATATTCAATATAAATTACTGAAGAGCAAATATTCTTGCAACATCGAAAATTATATACCATTTCTGGGTATTGGGGATAGTAAGAGCAAACTGTCCTCCCTGAAATGCTCAGTGATGTTGGCAGGGAATCCTAAAATCTTTTCTTTTCCCCAATTTTGGAAAGTTACAGGGCAGATCTCTTGAGATGCTGTTATGAATTCAAGCTTCAATTTTTTCAAATTTTTTATTTCAATTTATCATTAGTCAATGGCTAAAAACCTTGTTGGACAGTTTGTTGCTGTAAATATTACAGTTAGTGATCTTTCCAGGTCCTTGAAGAATTGTGATGGAATTTTGATAGGGATTGCATTGAATCTATAGACTATACTGTCTAGATTAATTGGACACAGCAAGTTGACCTAAAACAAATAGATTATAGGGCATTTATACCAAGCATACATTTGGTCTGACTTCCTCCATAGCTGGGATAAAATGATAATGAGAAAGTGTTAACAGAACAGAGGCCAGAACCTCTTTGTGATATTTCTGTCAATATTATAGTACAAAGAAGGAACTAGTTCTGTTGGTGTGTATCATCAATGGGTTTATTGCATAGGGTGGTGCTGAAGCCTTGCACAGCAAATGTGTTCTAAATGCCATTCTTATTGTAGGTATTTTACAAAATAATCAGCAATTTGACATGTAAATGATAAGGTGAGACTTTATTCTATGAAAAGAAAGAATTTTAAACAAGAACATGAAAAGTGCAATTTCCATGATGGTTCCTGTATGAGAAATGGATACTTTAGCTCTAGACTATGGCAATGTTCTCTATTGAGGTTCCTTTGAATTAAAAATTCCTATGTGCACATATTCATTCTATACATGTCATTGTTCCTAAAGACTTCCATTCATGTTGTCTCAGTGAAACATAAATAAATTATTTTCTCAGTTTTATTTGGATGAATCACAACATTTCTGTGTATAGGGTTTGTGTTACATCCATATGACTGCGTCCTTCTCTAAGGTCTGTGTGCATCCACTTAGGTCTATGTAATCAACGGAGTGTTCTTCCAATGCATGGGTCTGAGTGAATTTCTTTGTGCAAGTCGAGGTTTTATCTGTTTGGAAATGAAAATGTGTGAGTCTGGAATATGCTTTTCATTAAATTCACATGTTATAAATTGAAGAACATTCTTCCCAACTTTTCTGACAAACACCTCTCTTGTGCTGTGTACCTCATATTCAAAAAAGTACAATACTGTCCATATGCTACTATGATAGTAAAATGTTGGTGCTTAATATGTCACAATGTGGAAATGTATTGATGTGGTGTCTGGATGGAAAGATGGCCACAGCCATCAAGAAGTATTCAATTTAAAATACAGAATAGCAAATATTCAAGAAACAAGGAAATTATATTCAATTGCTCATAACTGGAGTCAGGTAGAGAAAACTCTGTTCCCTGTAATGTTCCTAGTATTTGAAGAGAATCCTACAATCACTTCTTTTTCACCAAATTTGTAAAGTCACAGGGTAGGACACCTGAGATGCTCACTTATGACTTCACTGCTTCTAAATATTTTTGTTCTTTATTTCAGTCTGGCATTAGTTAATTGCTAAAAACTTGCTGCACAGTTTGTTGCTGTTAGTATTACAGTTAGTGTAACATAAAGTGATGTATCAAATTATAAGGGAGGTTTGCAACACATAAAAAAATTTCTCATGAAATTTCGGAGACAAGGCCAGTCTGCACAGTTTACTCTTAGGCTTCATAATAGAAGAGTTCTAGCCACTTTGGGGAAGCATCACTTTTGTCAAGAGGACCTCCCATCTGGAGCTCAGGTTGGCATAGTTTCAAGTCAATCACCTTCCTCAGAAACATGTTGACACCACTGATCCAGATAAGTTCTCTATTAACTCATGTTTGTATCCAATGCAATGAGAAAGCTGCAATAGCTAGTGGCTTTGATTCTGAAATGAATGGTCATGACTGTGCATCTGAATTGTTTCTCAGTTTCTTAATAGATTTACTGAACCACATACAGAATTAAAACATAGGCTTCATCATCTGAAAGCAGACATGTGCTGAAAAAATGATCCAAGTCTAATTTGCCTGCATTATTCTTAAGAAAGAGCAAATTCACATGGATTTTGTGGGGCTAAATTTGAAATATTGAAGTCAGTATTAACAAAAAATAGATAAAATCCTAAAAAATTAGAACAGCACATCAATAATGGAAAAAGATATACTCTAATGAATATTAATCAATGTGTGCATCTCCAGCCTGACAGAGAAGAAGCCATGGCAATTCCAACCTGCAATATAATAGAAATACAAAATAAATTGATTGGAATCTTGTCCAGACTACAGTGTCTAGCTTAATTGGATAGAGCAAGTTGACCTGAAACACAGAGATTTATACGAAACATACATTTGTTCTGACTTCCTTCCTACCTGTGGTAAGATGATATTTAGAATGTTTTAACAGAAAGGAGGCCAGAAGCTCTTTGTGATATTTCTGACAATATTAAATTTCAAGTAAGGCACTATATCCTTCGGTGTGTATCATCACTGGGTTTATTGCTTGAGGTGGTGCTGGAGCCTTGCACGGCAACTGCCTTCTAAATGCCATTCCTAGTGCAGACATTTCAGAAAATATTAGGCATTTTGACATGTAAATGAGAACGTTAGCAAGTATTCTAAGAAAGGATGGCATTTCAATAATAACAGGAAAAGCACACTGCAACCTTTAATTCCTGTTGGGGCCTAGCCCCCAATGCATCTCTGAGTTGTTTGTCAACTAATAGCATCTTGTTTGTTAGTCCTGGATTACTGCCCCCTCATTGCACCACTGACATCAACATCTAGCAGGAGGATTAAAAGCTCTCTTCCTGCTGGAGTTTTTCTAATATGTTTTAAGACTATATATACGACTGCTAGTATTCGAGCGATAAACACTGATCCATTGCTCAGGACCCCATAGGTAGCCCAGGTCTCCTCATTGACTCTCACATTCAGGGGGTCTGGATCGGTCCCATGTGTCCATAACACAAAGAGGGTCGCTTTCTCTGCCTGGACTCTTAGGGAAGTCCCTGGCCCCTACCCTGAGTGAAATGATAGACTCTAGATATCCCCTATGCGGATGGAATTGGCAATAGGGTGGGAGGATGGGGGGGATGGTGGGGAGGTGGCGGGGGGGAGGGAAGGGAGAGGGAACTGGGATTGGCATGTAAAACAAGCTATTTAAAATTAAAATAAAAATAAAAAAGACTGCTCCTTCATACAAGAGGGAGAACTAATAGCGATAGCAAAATAAAGACTCTTCTTATTACAAACAGCTAGATATCTGGTCTTTCTTTTCCTAATACCTCGGAGTAGCTTGTGGCACAGGCACCACAATTGGAGGTCCCACTGAGATCCTGAGAGACTTGGAAAGAATGGGAAAGATTTGCCAGAAAGAAGACACAAGAGAGGAGAGACTCAAGAAAGAAAAGGTTTGAAAATAGGTACATCAACTTCTAACAGTAAATTTGAATGATCAAATTTGCAGCCTTTTTCTTGAGAGATCACCTTCTAAGCATGTGTATTAAATTAATCTCCAGCCTTTCTCCTGCTCCACTGAGGTCAGGAAAGTAAAGGGGAAGTGAGAGATCGCCCTTAAAGGCTGGCCAGCTAGTGAGGCTATGAGGGTGTATTAGAAAGGGTTACTAAGTTAGGAGTACCAGGTTAAATCTCCAGGCTTTTGCCCTCAAGGGTGGAAAGAAGGTGGAACCTGAGAGATGGCCCTCTGCGGGAGGGTGAATTGAGTAAATCTTAAGGATGTTGCCTGATAGATCATCCTCATTTGGAGAATGGATTGAAAATAGGTGAATTGAAAATTGGTAACAATTAGTAAACAAGGTACTGGTATTAAGAGAAAGAAAAAAAGGTACAAATATATGGAATGGAAAATACACAGAGAGTCAAGATACTGTGTCCTGATATGTTGTTTTAAACTGTTTAATTGATTAAGAATAAAACACACAATACTAAAAGACATTTGATTATCAATGCTGCTAAAAATAATACAACATACATATTTTGAAAATGCTTTGACTTCTAAATTTAAATATAGGGACAGGTTATTTGGTAAAAAAAAAGGTTCTGCTTTTGTTTCCACAGAAAATAAAAAGCTGTGGGTTCCTTCCAGAATATAATGGTTTGATTAAGCAAGACCTGCAGAAGCAGTTGCACAAGGATTCAACATCTAAAACAGCTAAGATGATGCATCTTTACAGACTCTGAAAATAAGGACTTATACAGGTTTTCTGAGTTTTGTCATGATTCCCATGGTATGATCAGAGCCCCTTAACAGCAAGAAGTAGCTTGAAAAGAACGATGCCCACATTGCCAAATATTGTTTATATGTGTGTGTTTGCATTTATGCAGGGTTAGTTTTTGCTACAAATTTAAGGTCAATTTTATGAGTCATCTCTAAAAATTTTTTATAAGGAGTGGGTATGGCTGTAGTCCCTCAGAAAAATAGAAAAAGCCTATAACATGCCCTGAGAGCCAAAGAAATCTGTATGGAAGATTCTATAGAATAGCAAACGGTACAAACAAAATTTCAAAAAGTAAAAAATGGGGAGATGTTGGGGCATAGCCCCAATAGGGTCAGCTGATAGCCACAGGTGCATCCTGTTTTCTGGTTCTAGCTTACTGCCCCCATATAGTCCCAATGATACCAACATCTAGTAGGAGGAAAACATTCTCTCTTTCACCTGGGGTTTTTCTACTGTGTTGTAAGACTGTATATAAGTCTGCACCCTCCTACAAGAGAGAGACCTCTTAGCACTTACAAAATAAAGACGTTTTTGAGTACAAACAGCCGGACATGTAGTCTTTCTTTTCCTGATACCACGGAGTTGCTTGTGGCACGGGCGCTGCAAATTCTCAAGATGGTTTCTGTGTGAGAACTGTGTACATTAACACTAGATTATGGCAAGGTTCCCTATTGAGGTTCCTTTTCTTTAAGATTTTTATGTACACATATTCATTCTACACATGTCATTGCATTGCTCCTTAACACTTCCTTACATGCTGTCTCACTGAAACATAAAAAAATTATTCTTTCATCTTTATTTGGATAATCTCAATGAAACTGAGTATGGGGTTTGTGATTCATCAGTGTAACAACTGTGAAACAGAGTGTGTCTGCTTTCTTCTCTACGGTCAGTTTGCAACTACCTAGGTCTGGGGAATTGTGGGAGTGTTCTCCAGATGTATGCATCTGAGTGAATATCTCTGTGCAAGTCGGCACTGTATCTGATTGGAAGGGAAAAGGTGTGAGTATGCAATACTCTCTTCAATAATTCACAGGTTTTTAAAAAATTGAAGATCATTCTTTCCAACTTTTCTGACAAACACTTCTCTTGTGAAATGTACCGCATATTCAAAAATAGAACAATATTCTCCATGATAGTAAAATGTTGATGCTTATTCTGTCACAATGGGGAAGTGGATTAAGTGGTGTCTGGATGGTGAGATGGCCGCTGTCATCAAGATATGTTCAATTTAAAATTCCACAGAATTGCACATGTCCTAGCAACATGGAAAATTATATCCCATTGCTGTTACTTGGGGAGAGGAAGTAAACTGTGGTCTCTGAAATGCTCGGTAATTGGTACATATTTTCCCCAATTTTTGTAAGTAACAGGACAAGGCCAATGAGATGCTCAGTTATATTTTAACTGTTTCCACATCTTTCAATTCTTTATTTCAATCTAGCATTGGTCTTTGGCTTAAAAACTTGCTGAACAGTTTGTTGCAGTTAATATTGCAGATAGTACAATGTAAAGTGATGTATCAAAATATAAGACATGTTTGCCACTCTAACATTGTTTTTCTTGTGAAATTTGGGCGAATAAACCAGTCTGCACAGTTATTTCTTATGCTTCAAAATATAAGAGTGCTAGCAATTTGCATAAACATCACTGTTGTCAAGAGGTCCTCCTATCTGGAGCTCAGATTGGCATAGTTATAAATTGATCACTGTCCTCAGAACTTGTTTTCATCATCGATCCTGATAAGCCCTCTTTTAACTCATGTGTGATTTCAAAGCAATGGGAAAGCTAGAATAGATATTGACTGCAACTTTGAAATGGATGATCACAAGTGTGCAGATTGCTTGTTGCTCAGTTTCTGAATAGAGTAAATGAATCACATACAGAATTCACATATAGGCTTCATCATCTTAAAGCATACATGATCAGACAAAATGATGCATATCTAATTTGCCAGCATTATTCATAAGAAAGAGAAAATTCACCTGGATTTTATAGGGCTCAATTTGAGTTGTTGAAGTCGGCTTTAACAAATAATAGCTAAAATCATAAAATATAAATTAAATAACACATCAATAATGGAAAATGACATCGTCTAGTAAGTATTAATCAATGCTTACCTCTCTCCAGTCTAAAAGGTAAGAGGCCATTGCAATTCTAACCTACAAGGAAATAACAATGAAAAAAGCATTGAATGGAATTAGTAAAAATTAGAGTGTCTAACCTAATTTGATGGAGCAAGTTGTCCTCAAACAGAGAGATTATAGGGCATTTACACCAAACATACATTTGATCTGACTTCCTCCACCTGTAGTAACATGGTAATGAGAATGTGTTAAGAAAAAGGAGGCCACAAGCTCTTTGTGATATTACTGTCAATACAAGGTATGCACTAGTTCCTTTGGTGTGCATCATCACTGGGTTTATTGCTTGGGGTGGTGCTATAGCCTTGCATAATAAACACAATCTAGATACCATTCCTAAAGCAGATATTTTACAAATATTCAGCAATTTGAAATGTAAATGAGAAGGTAAGAATTTATTCTATGAAAGGGGGCATTTTCTATAGGAACATGGAACGTGCACTGCAAACTTGAATTCCTATGGTGGTTTCTGTCTGAGAACTGTGTACATTAGGACTAAACTATGGCTAGAATATCAGCTGAGGTTTCTGTTTATTAAAAATTGTTATGTGCACACATTCTTTCTACACATGCCATCGCCCCTAAGGACTTCCTTTCATGGTTTCTCAGTAAAAGATATAAATTATTCTATCATATTTATTTCGATGAATCTCAATGTATCTCATTAAAGGGTTTGTGCTTGATTAGTTTGACAACTGAGAAATGGAGTGTGTCTTCTTACTTCACTAAGTTCTGGGTGCAACTAGGTCTGTTTAATCATGGGAGTGTTCTCCTGATACTTGGATTTGAGTGAAGATCTTTGTGTATGTCATAGTTATATCTGATTTGAATGGTAAAGAGTACACAATAGGTTCTTCATTAAATGCTCATGTTATAAAAAATGAAGATAATTCTTCCCACCTTTTCTGACAATCACTTCTCTTGTATTTTGAATCTTATATTAAAAAAACAACAATATTCTCCATATGTTACAGTGACAGTAAAATGTTTGTTCTTACTCTGTCACAATGGAGAATTGGATTGACCTGGTGTCTGGGTGGTAAGACGACCTATGCCATCAAGATATGTTTTTTTTAAACTAAGGATTAGAAAATATTCTAGCAAAATGGGAAATTATATCTCTTTGCAGGTAATTGGAGAAAGGAAAGCAAACTGGTCTATGAAATTCTCAGTAAATATTGCAGGCAATCCTAAAATCTGTTCTTTCTTCCCAATTTTGCAAAGTCACAGGGCAGGGCACTTGAAATACTCAGTTATGGTTTAACTGCTTCCATATATATTAGTTCTTTATTTCAATCTGTCAGTATTCAATGACTTTAAAACATTGTGGACATTTTTTGCTCTTAGTATTATACTTAGTATAACATAAAGTAATGTATCAAATTATAAAACACATTTGCCAAACAAAAAAAATGTTGTTTGTTAAAATTTGGGAGAAAAAGTCAGTCTGCACAGTTATCTCTTATGTTTCCAAATGGAAGATTGCTGGCCATTTTCGGGAAACATCACTTTTGTCAAGAGGACCTCCCATCTGGAGCTCAGATTGGCATAGTCACGAGTCGATCACTGTCCTCAGAGACTTGTTTTCATCATTGACCCAGACAAGGCCTCTCTTACCTCATGAGTGTTTCAAATGAAATTGGAAAGCTGGAATAGCTAGTCGTTTTGACTTTGCAATGAATGGTCATATACGTGCAGCTGGCCTTTTGCTCAGGTTCTCAACAGAGTTACTGAACCACATAAACAATTATGAGATGGCCTCCCATATCTTAAAGCATACATGACATGAAAAAGGTTAGTGACTAATTTGCCAGCTTTATTGTGAAGAAATAGAAAATTCACATAGATTTTAATGAGCATAATATGAAATGTTGAAGTCTGCTCTAAGAAAAAAAATAAGCCGGGCGGTGGTGGCGCACGCCTTTAATCCCAGCACTAGGGAGGCAGAGACAGGCAGATCTCTGTGAGTTCGAGGCTGGGCTGGACCGACAGCCTCCAAAAACAATACAGAGAAACCCTGTTCGGTAAAACAAAAAAAAATAGATAAAATTCTAAAAAAAGGAAAACAAAACAAGAATGGAAAGGAATTTCTGTATTGAATTTTCAGAGGCAATCAAGCTTTTGGAATTCATGATAATATATTCATTGGGAGATGGTTGCTACATTCATCTTCCTCCTCCTCCTGATCTCCGTTGTGTTCTAATACTCATGTCTGTCACGTAACATCTAATTTTGGCCTGTGCCTTACAATCAACTATGGACTATTCAGTTTGTCATGCAACTGTCATATCTATGAGGAATCCTGCAATGCATATCCTACTGCCATCACTATCAAGTTTGTGTATCTGATAAATAATATCAGCAGTAATGTCAGAAGCATTTTAAGTGCTGACCTTGAGTTCTGTGTGTTTTTGTAGGGATGTGGTCTCTCTCATGTAAGACTATCACTTTGTAATTATGCACTCATTTCCAAAACATCAGATGTAGGTATGCCCAAAGAGAAAATACTTTTTTTTTTGGTTTTACGACACAGGGCTTCTTTGTATTGTTTTGGAGGCTGTCGGTCCAGCCCGGCCTCGAACTCACAGAGCTCCGCCTGCCTCTGCCTCCCGAGTGCTGGGATTAAAGGTGGGCACCATCACCGCCCAGCGAAAATATTTTCATGTAACAACAATTCTGGCTAAAATGTCTGCTCATGAGCCTTCCGAGATTCTCCTTATGCTCCAATTTTGTGAAGAAGTACATTAAAATGTTTTCTCAGGTCCTACAGTGTCATATAAAAATTTTGAGTGCTTTCACATCATTGCATGATTCTCAATGATTCTGAGTACAGGAAAAAAATCTGCTTTTGTTTCCAAAGGAAATAAAAAGTTATCAAGACCTGCAGAAGCAGTGGCTCAATGATTCAACATCTAAAACAGCTAAGATGATGCAACCTTACAGACCCCGTAAATAAGGACTTATACAAGTTTCTGAGTTTTGTCATGATCCCCATGGGATGAACAGGGCCCCTTAAGAGCAAGAAGTAATTTAGAAAGAACGACACCCACATTCCCAAATATTGTTTATCAATGTGTGGTTGAATTTACACTGGGTTGGTTATTACTACAAATTTAAGGTCAGTTTTTTGAATCATCTCTGAAAACTCTTTACAAGGAGTGGATATGGCTGTACTCACTTAGAAAAATAGAAAAAGCCTATAACATGGCCTGAGAGCCAAATAAATCTATATGGAAAATTCTATACAGTTGCAAAGAGTTAAAACAAAATTTGAAAAAAGAAAAAAAATGGGAGATGATGGAGCATAGACTACATAAGGTCTCTGAGTTATTTGTCAGCTAATAGCCAGAGATGCATCCTGTTTTCTAGTTCTGGCTTACTGTCCCCATATTGCCCCACTGACATCAATATCTAGCAGGAAGAAAACACGCTGTCTTCCACCTTGCGGTTTTCTACTGTGTTGTAAGACTATATATAAGTCTGCTCCCTCCTACAAGATAGAGACCTCTTAGCACTTACAGAATAAAGACATGTCTTAGTACAAACAGCTGGACTTCTGGTCTTTTTTTCCTGAAACCACGGAGTTGATTGTGACACAATCGCTGCAAATTATCAAGATGGTTTCAGTGTGAGAACTGTGTATATTAGCACTAGAATATGGCAAGGTTATCTATTGAGGTTACTTTTCTTTAAAAATTGTTATGTACCTATATTCATGTTATTGCATTGCTCCTAAACACATCCTTTCCTGATGTCTCACTGAAATATAAAAAAAATAATTTCATGTTTATATGGAAAAATCTTAATGAAAATGAGTATAGGTTTACTCACTTATGATTTCACTGCTTCCACATCTCTTAGTTCTTTATTTCAATTATGCATTAGTCAATGGCTTAAAAACTTGCTGGGCAGTTTGTTGCTGTTAGTATTAGAGTTAGTGTAACATAAAGTGATGAATCCAATTGCGAGATGAGTTTGCCTCACAAAAATAATTGTTACCATGAAATTTGGGAGACAAAGCTAGTGTGTGCAGTTATCTCTTATGCTTCAAAATGGAAAAGTGCTTGCCGTTTTGGGGAATCATCACTCTTGTCAACAGCACCTCCCACCTGGAGCTCAGATTGGCATAGTTACAAGTAAATCACAGTCCTCAAAAACTTGTTTTTATCATCGATCCAGAAAAGTCCTCTTCTAACTAATGTGTGTTTCCAATTCCAAGGGAAAACAAAAAAATTAATGGATTTGACTATGAATTTAATGGTCATGACTGTGCAGCTGGCTTATTGCACAGGATTCAATAGAGTTAATGAACCACATACTGAGTGAAAACATAGGCTTCATTATCTTAAAGCATACATGATCAGAAAAAATAATCCATGACTTATGGGACAAAGTTATTCCTAGAAAGAGAACGTTCACATGGATTTTATGGGGCTAAATTTAAATATTGATGACAGCTTTAACAATAAATATAGTAAATTCTAAAAAAATAAAAAAACATCAATAAAGGAAGAAGACATCCTGTACAAGATAATCATCAGTGCTTACCTCTTCATCCTGAAAGGTAAGTGGCCATTGCAATATCAACCTGCAACAAAATAGAAATAAAAAATATATTGATTGTTATTTTGTCCTGACTACAGAGTCTATATTAATTGGATAGAGCAAGTTTCCTCAAACAGAGAGATTATGGGGCATTTATACCCAGCATACATTTGGTTTAATTTCCTCCATACCTGCAGTAAGATGATAAAGAGAATGTACTCAGAGAAAGGAGGCTAGAACACCTCAGAGATATTTTTGACAATATTATAGTGCAAGTAAGGCACTAGTTCTTGGGTATGTAGCATCACTGGGTTTATTGCATAGGGTGATGCTAAAGCCTTGCACAGCACCTGCACTCTAGACACCATTTCTAATTCAGATGTTATGGAAAATATTCTGAAATTTGACATGTAAATTAAAGGTAAGAATTTGTTCTATGAAAGGAAGGCATTTTCTACAAGAACAAGAAAATTGCACTGCCACCTAGAGTTCACATGGTGGTTTCTGTGAGAGCTGTGTTCACTAGCACTAGACTAATGTAAGATTCTCTAATAAGGCTCCTTGTGCACATATCCATTCTACACATGTCATTGCTCCTAAAGACTTCCTTTCATGGTGTCTCAGTGAAAATGTTCTTTCATCTTTATTTGGATCAATCTCAATAAAATTGTGTATAGGATTACTGATTCATCAGCATGACAAATGTGAAACAGAGTGTCTGCTTTCTTCTGTAAGGTCTGTGTGCAACCACCTAAGTCTCTGTAATCATGGGAGTGTTGTACGCATGCATGGATCTAAGTGACATTCTTTGTGATATTTGGCGTTTTATCTGTTTGGAATGGAAATGTGTGGGTAGGCAATATGTTATTCATTACATTCACAAAATATAAAAAATGAAGATTATTCGACACAAATTTTATGACAAACAATTTTATTGTGTTGTGCACCTCAGATTCAAAAAAGTAAAACATTCACAATATATTACCATGATAGTAAAATGTGGGTGATTACTCTCTCATAATGTGGAAGTGGATTCATAGGGTGTCTGGATGGTGATATGGCTGCTGGCATCAAAATATGTTCAGTTTACAATATACAGAATAGCAAATATTCTTGCAACATGAAAATTATATCACATTGCTGATAACTGGAGGAAGCAGGAGCAAACTGTGGTCTCTGAAATGCTCATTAAATTAGGCAGGGAATCTTACAATCTCTTCTTTTCACCAATCATGGAAAGTCACAGGACAGGGCCCTTGGGATGCTCAGTTATGATTTCACTGCTTCCACATATTGTAGTTCCTTATTTTAATCTTGCTTTAGTCAATGTCTTAAAAAATTGTTAGGCAGATTGATGCTGTTTGTATTACATTTAGTGTTACATAAAGTGAAATATCAAATTATAAGCCAAGTATACAAAACAAAAAATTGTGTTCACATTGAATTTGGGAGATAAAGATCATGCCCCACTGTTATGTATTATGCTTCAAATATTTAAGAGTGCTAGCCACTTTGGGGAAACATCACTGTTGTTAAGATATATTCCCATCTGATTCTCAGATTGGCAAAGTTACAAGTAGGTCACTGTACTCAGAGACTAATTGACATCATTGGTCCCGATTAGCCCTCTTTTAACTCATGTGTGTTTTAAGGCAATCAGAAAACTGGAATAGCTAGTGGCTTTGACTTTGAAATGAACTGTCATCACTGTGCAGCTGGTTATTTGCTCAGGTTCTGAATAGAGGAAATGAACCACATATAGAATTAACACATAGGCTTAAAGAATACATGTTCATAAAAATGATCCATGTCTAATTGAACAGCATTATGCCTAAGAAATAGAAAATTTACATACATTTTATGGGACTAAATTTGAAATATTGAAAATCGGTATTACACACATAAAAATCTTAAATAAATATAAAACATCAATAATGGAAAAAGTCATCCTCTAATAAATATTTATCAATGCTTACCTCTTCAGCCTGAAAGGTAAGAGCCATTGCAATTCCAATTCCAACCTGCAAAAAATAGAAATAAAGAATACATTGTTTGGAGGTATATCCAGACTACAGTGTCTGGCTTAATTGGATATATCAAATTGTTCTCAAACACTGAGATTATAGCACATTTATACAAGAAACATGCTTGGTCTGATTTCCTCCGTAGCTTGGGTAAGATGATAATGAGAATGTGTTAAGAGAAAGTAGGCCAGAATGTCTTTGTGATATTTCTGTCATAATATAGTAAGGAAAAGGCAGAAGTTCCTTTGGTGTCTTGCCTGGATTTATTGCTTGTGGTGGTTCTGAAGACTCACACAGCAACGGTGTTCTAGATGCCATGCATAACACAGATATTTTACAAATATTTGACAATTTGACATGTAAAAGACAAGGCAAGAATGTAATGTATAAAACGATGGAATTTTCTAAAAGAACATGAAAAGTGTACTGCAAACTTGAAAACAAATGATGGTTTTTGTGTGATAACTGTGTATTTTAGCACAAGATTATGGAAAAGTTCTGTATTGAAATAGATTACTGGGAGGCAAAGCCAGTCTGCACAGTTATCTCTGATACTTCAAAATGGAAGAGTGCTAGCCACTTTTGGGAAACATTACTTTTGTCAAGAGGACTTCCCATCTGGAGCTCATAGCGGCATAGTACAGGTCTATCAGCGTCCTCAGAGACTTGTTGTCATCATCGATCCAGATGAGCCCTTTTAACTCAAGTGTGTTTCCAATGCAATGGTTAAGCTGGAAAAGCTTGTGGCTTTGACTTTGAAATTAAAGGCACGACTGTGCAGGTTTCTAATAGCTCAGGTTCTGAATATAGTTAAAAACCACCTATAGAATTAACACATAGGTTTCAACAATTTAAAGCACACATAAGCAGAAAAATAACCCATGTCTAATTTGCAAGCATTATTCCTAGGAAAGAGAATATTGACATGTATTTTATGGTACTATATTTGAAATACTGAATTGGTCTAAATTAAAAAAATAAAAATAAAAAAGTACTAAAAAACATACACATCAAGAATGGAAAAAGAATTCCTCTAACAAATATTAGTCATTGCTTACCTCTCCAGGCTGAAAGGTAAGAGGCATTTGCAATTCCAACCTACAGCAAAACAGAAATAAAAATACATTGATTGGAATTTTGTCCAGACTGCAGTTTCTAACTTAATTTGATAGAGCATGTTGTCCTCAAAAACAGAGATTACAGGGCATTTATACCAATTATATTAGTTCTGACTTCCTCCATAACTGTAGTAAGGTGATAACATGAATACATGAAGAGAAAGGTGGCCCAAAGCTGTTTATTATATTTCTGTCAATATTATAATATAAGAAGGGCAGTAGTTCCATTAGTGTATACCATAATTGGATTTATTGCTTAGGGTGGTGCTGAATCTTTGCACAGAAAACACATTCAAGATATAATACCTAATGCATATATTTTACAAACTATTCTGCTATTTAACATGTAAATGATCAGGTAAATTTTATTCTATGAAAGGAAGACATTTTCTTAAGATCATCAAAAGTACACTACAACCTTGAATTCCCATGATGGTCTCTGTGTGAGAAATGTGTGATTTAGCTCTGGAGTACGACAAGGTTCTCTATTGAGGTTACTTTCATTAAAAATCGCTATGTAACATATTCATTCTACAAATGTCATCACTCTTAAAGTCTTCCTATAATGGTGTCTTAATGAAACATAAAATATTATTTTTTTCATCTTTATTTGGGTGAATTTCAATGAATGTGAAATTAGGGTTTGTGTTTCATCAGTGTGACAACTGAGAAACGGAGTGTCCCTGCTTCCTTCTCTAAGGTTAGCATGCAATTATGTAGTTCTAGGCAATAATGGAGGTGTTCTCTAGATGCATGGATCTGAGCGATGATCTTTGTGGAAGTCAGCTTGTATCTGTTTGGAATAGAAAGAGTGTGAGTATGCAATATCATATTCATTAAATACAGATATTATAAAATTGGACGATATTTCTTCCCAACCTTTTGACAAACACATTTCTTGTCTTGTGTACCTTGTTTTCAAAACAGCACAATATTCTCCATATGTTACCCTGATAGTAAAATGTTGGTGCTTATTCTGTCACAATGACGAAGTGGTTTGACAGGGTGTCTGTATGGTGAGTTGGCTGCTGCCAACAAGATATTTTCAATTTAAACTACAGAATAAAATATATTGCAGCATAATGGGAAATTATATCCCATTGTGGTAATTGGAGGAAACAAGAGCAAACTGTGATCTCTGAAATCCTCAGTAACAGAGGCAGAGAATACTTCAATCTCTTTTACACCAATTTTGGAAAGTCACAGGGCATTGCCCTGAGACTTTCAGTTATGATTTCACTGCTTCCACAACTTTTAGTTCTTTATTTCTGTCTGGCATTAGTAAATATTTTAAATAATTGGTGGAAATTTTTTTCTGTTACTGTAATCGCTAGTGTAACATAAAGTGATATATCAAATTATAAGACAATTTTGCAACACAAAAAAATGTTTTTCACATAAAATTTGGGCAAATAAGCCATTCCGCACATTTATCTCTTCTGCTTCAAAATGAAAGAGTGCTTGCCACTTTGGGGAAACATCACTGTTGTCAAGAAGACATACAATCTGGAGCTCAGATTGGCATAGTTACAGGTCGATCACTGTCCTCAGTAACTTCTTGTTATCATTGATGCAGATAAGCCCTCTTTTAATTCATGTGTGTTTCCAATGTAATGGAAAGCTAGAATAGATAGTGGCTTTGATATTGAAATAAAATTTCATCACTGTGCAGGTGGTTTATGTCTAAGTTTCTGAATAGGGTTTCAGAACCACAAACAGAATTATCATATAGGCTCATCAAATTAAAGCTTACATGAGTTGAAAAAATGATGCATGTCCCATTGGCCAGCATTACTCCTAAAAAAGAGAAAATTTCATGAATTTTAAGGGACTAAATTTGAAAGAGTGAAAAAAGGTATTATAAAAAAGATAAAATCCTAAAAAATTAAAAATCACATCAATAATGGAAAAAGACATCCTCTAATGAATAGTAATCAATGCTTACCTATCCAACCTGAAGGGTAAGAGATAACTGCAATTACAACCTGCAACAAAATAGAAATAAAAAATTCACTGATCGGAGTTTTGTCCAAACTACTTTTTCAAGCTTAATTGGATAGAGCATGTTGTCCACAAACACAGCAATTATAGGGGATATATAGCAAAAATACATTTTGTCTAAATTCTTCCTTTCCTGGGGTAAGATGATAATGAGAATGTGTTAAGAGAAAGGATGCCAGAAGCTCTTTGTGATATTTTTGTCCATATTATAGTATAGGTAAAGAAGTAGTTGCTGTGGTATGTATCTTCCCTGGGTTATTGCTTGGGGTTGTGCTGAAGGCTCACACAGCAATGGCATTCTAGATGTAATTCACAATGCAGATGTTTTAAAATATTTCTGTATTTGACATGTATATGTGGTGGTTAGAATTTATTATATGAAAGAAGGCATTTTCAATAAGAACATGAGAAGTGTACTGCAACTTTGAATTCCAATGATGGTGAGACCTGAGCACTAGATTATGCCAAGGTTCTCTATTGCGATTCCTTTCCAATAAAAATTTTTATGTACACATGTTTATTCTACACATGTCATTGATCCTAAAGACTTCATTTCATGGATACTCAGTGAAACATAAACACATTATTATTTCATCTTTTTGGATGAATTTCAATGACTATGAGTATAGGGTTTGCATTTGATCAGTGTGACAACTGAGGAACAGAATATATCTGTGTCAATCTCTAAGTTAAGTGTGCAACTATGGAGGCCTTTGTAATCATGGGATTGTTCCTGGATGCATGTATCTGAGTGAAGTTTTTGTGTAACACGGCGTTGTATCTATTTGGATTAGAAAAGGTAGGTGTATGCAAAATTCTCTTCATTAAATTAACACAAAATAAAAAATTGAAGATCATGTTTCCCAAATTTATTCTGAAAAACACTTCTTTTGGGAACTGCACCTTATATTGAAAAACAGCAATATCCTAAATATGTTCCCATGATAGTAAAATGTTGTGATTATTATGTCACAGTGGGGAAGTGGATTGATGTGGTAGTGTGTATGAGGAGATGTCTTCTGCCATTGCGATATGTTCAATTTTACCTTCAAAATGGCACATATTCTAGCAAAATGGAAGATTACATCCCATTCCCGGTAATTGGGTGAGGAGGTGCAAACTTTGGTTTCTGATGTGCTCAGTAATGGTGGAAGGGAATCCTACAATTTCTTCTTTTATTCGAGTTTTGGAACGTCACACTTCAGGGCTATGTAGATGCTCAGTTACTATTTCACTTCTTCTGCAACATTTAGTCCTACATTTCAGTCTGGCATTCATCAATCCCTTAAAAATTTGCTTGACACTTTGTTGCTGTTGGTATTACAGTTAGTGTAAAATACAGCGATGAATCAAATTATAAGACACTTTTGCCACACACAAAAACTGGTTACCATAAAATTAAGTCGAAAAAGCCAGTCTGCATAGTTATCACATATGCATCAAAATGGAACAGTGCTATCCACTTTGGGGAAACATCACTGGTGTCAAGATGACCTCACAACTGGAACTCAGAGTGGCATAGGTCTGGTCGATCAGCGTCCTCAGAGACATGTTGTCATCATCGATCCAGATGAGTCCTCTTTTAACTCAAGTGTGTTTCCAATGCAATGGTTATACTGGAAAACTTTCTGGCTTTGACTTTGAAATGCATGGTCATGACTATGAAGCTGGCTTATAGCTCAGGTTCTGAATAGAGTTACAAAACACAGACAGAATTGACAAATAGGTTTCATGGTCTAAATTACACAAGAGATGAAAAAATTATTCAAGTCTAATTTGCCAGCATTATTCATAGGAAAAAATATTGAGATGGATTTTATGGAACCAAATTTGTAATATTGAAGTCAGTATTAACAAAAAAATTTAAAAAACTAAAAAAATAAAAATACACATCAAGAATGGAAAAATAATTCCTATAATAAATATTATTCAATGCTTACCTCTTAAAGGTAAGAGGCATTTTCAATTGCAACCTGCAGCAAAACAGAAATAAAAAATAAAATGATTGGAATTTTGTCCAGGCTGCAGTTTCTAGCTTAATTTGATAGAGCATGTTGTCCTGAAACACAGAGATTACAGGGCATTTACACCAAACATATATTTGGTCTGTCCTCTTCCATAACAGTTGTAAGATGATAATGAGAATATATTAAGAGAAAGGAGGCCCAAAGCTGTTTTTTATATTTCTGTCAATATTATAATACAAGAAGGGCACTAGTTCCATTGATGTATACCATAACTGGTTTTATTGCATAGGGTGGTGCTGAATCCTCGCATATACACCACATTCAAGATGTAATTCCTAATGCATACTTTTTAGAAAACTTTTTCAATTTGACAAGTTAATGAGAAGGTAAGTATTTATTATATGAAAGAAAGGGATTTTCTATAAGAACATCAAAAGTGCACTGCAACCTTGAATTCCCATGATGGTTTCTTTGTGAGATTTGGATAGATTAGTAGTAGACTAGGACAAGGTTCTCTATTGAGGTTACTTTCATTAAAATTGCTATGTTCACATATTCATTCTACAAATATCATTGGTCTTAAAGTTTTCCTTTAGTGG